TCATTGATTAGAATATGGCTATACATAAACACTATACTATAAAATAAAAATACATATATACATAGATATATATGAGCAAGAAACATGACACAAAACACATGTACACACATGTTTATATCCTTATAAAAAATAAAAACAGAAAAATACTGGAAGATGATGTAAACAGTCACTACTGATCTTGCCTTTATATGGTGAGATTATGGGCTTTCTTTTTAAATGTTTTTTTATCAGCATTTTTTGTGGTTAGGCCCCACATTGATTTTAAAAAACTTTATTTAAAAAAAAAAAAAAAAGCATGAGCAACCACAGCAAAAACCATGACAGCTTAAAGCTTTCATAAGGGAATATACCTACGAAATGTTTATTAGAAAGTTCATTAATTTCCAGAAATAAGAAATCGTATCAGTACTATATTCACCCTAAAACACATTCCTTCTTGAAAGCAAAAGAAAGTGCAAAACGAGTGGAAGCGAACAGCTGTTGGTGTGAGAGGAGCTTACGTAATTGTCTCTTGCAGACCAGCCCGGATAAAGCTGCATATGTAGCTGTCTTTCTTTCCGTGCTAATTCATAATATTTAGCCTGCTCTTCACGGGAGAGGGCGTGCCACTGAAAGAAAAGGCAGAAAGAGGAAAAGGACAAAAGTAAACCAAACAGCAACAGCAGATTTCATGTTTCAAACTTTGAAAAGTGCGAATATTAAGCATTTGAACTTCTATTTATTTCTAAATGGCAGACGACCAAGAGCTGCAAAAGTCTGCTTGGAGGCTGGAGGCTGGAGTGAAACTCCAACTTTGGTTTCTCTGTCCTGTTCTCCAATATCACATGAAACACATCAAAGTCCATCAAAACGCAAAGTAAAATGATCGGTCACCCCCACCCTTTCTCTTTACCAATATAAATTAAAAAGAACTTTCACTGGTCAACCTCAACACCCTTTCATCATCTGTGGCATATTCTTTGTATCTGAGTGCATGCACCATTTATTTATGCAAAATGTGATAATTTCCAGATGCCTTTCAGGACAGACACACCCTCTCCTCACAGACACGCTCCCACTCTGTCATATGAAGTCTGGAACCTGAATCATATGATCCTCTCTATCAGGAAAGACATCAGAAGTCAGTCTGCCTGTCTCCATCTCTTCACACTTACACACAACACACACCCACTGTCTATGGGGAGAACACTGGTGACATTGTGCACTCATACAGCACACTTTTGGAGAGCGTTTTTAGGTTCCTTCTGATTGACAGTATCAACTTATCTAAGTTCATTTTGCCAGCTAGCATTTGAGGTGGCAGTTTCTAATATGGACAATGGAGCTGCTGACATCCTTCACGTGTTCCGTCTCCTTTTTACATAACTGATGTGCGTCTATGTTGTAAGTAACAAAATAGTGTCTGTAGGTAAGGCACCCCTTGGAGTTTTGAGGGGCCTGCATTGCACACAATTTTGCACGATTTTGCACTCAGCTTGTCCTCGGGCCCCAGGAGACACTTTTCAATGATTTTCCCTATCTCCTGGATGCCAGAATCTGCCAAGAGATCCTTTCAGGGAGAATTGGTGGGCTCTGAGGCACTCATTGACCATAGGTAGGGGTAGAAAGGTGACGGTGGCTATACGAGGAACCTGTGGCCTTCAAAAGCCTCCCACTCCTGCTTGTCCTCAGCTCTTGGGTATGGAGTTTCCCATTCATGGCTATCGTGTGTATTGCTTTTTAATCTTCCTGACCTTGTTTTCAAAAACTGATTTTAAAGAAGAGAAAGAAAAGAAAGGTGTGGATAGGTTTGGGGAAAGGAAAAAGAGGAGGAGAGAGGGAGAGAGAAAAAATTTTCCTGGAGGAGGTGACGTCTAAGTTCTCATCAACTTGGACTCAGCCCTTACGTGTGGCTCAGAAGCTTTCCTGGAGGAAACAGAAACGCCTGCCAGTCTGGGTGGACAACAGAACAAGAAGGTGATCTCATGCAAAGAGGCCCCAGTGACACCTCCCACCATGCTTCCAGGACAGATACAGGAGTGACAGTAGGCAGGGCAAGAAAAGCCACCTCCTTTGAAATCCCCTTAAAAGCCAGGCCCTCTTTGTTGGGTAGGGTAGACGATTTATTTTTTAATTGCTTTACAAGTGCACAGTGTGAAGTTAAAAAGCGTGACACACAGCAGGACTTGGTGTGAGCCTAAAGGCAAATCAAGTACCGTGCTTTTATTTAAAAATAAATATATAAATTCAGGGGAGGTGGCAGAAAAGAAAAACAACCCTGGGGGGAAGAAGTGATGTTAAACACAGATCTTTGCACTTGTAGAACAAGCAAAACGAGACAAAAGGAGCCAGAGCAGAAGGCATGATTGGGGCGGGGACAGCCACACTGCCCCCGCTCCCAGCAGCCCTAGTGCTGGAGACCCCAGTGGGAAGCTACCACAAAAAACATCATCCTGGGTTTTGTTTTTGAGAAAACACAGATCACTGATATTTATACCACTAATGCTAAATAAATGTGACTGGCAAGGAGCAAAGTGTCCCCAAATTTGGGGGTGGGACAAAAGACAACAAAAGTCTAGAAGGAAGTCTTCCCTTTTAAATTCGTCCACTCATTTGAGAATTACTATTCCGCTATTACAACGCCTTTTAATACTGCAATGTATTAGTATATTTTTATGTAACATATGGCAGCTTTATAACTTGCTGAGAAAACCTAGAATTGTAAAGAAAAATGAACTCCCAAAATACAAACCAATGTTGGGTCTTCCACTCAAACAACCAGTTATTTTTCAGGAAAAGCAGGAAAGACAGGTTGATAGAAAGACCCCAGGCTAACACAACTGAATGAAATGCAAGGACAAAGAAGCAGGGCATAAACTAAACCATTTACTTGCATTTTCAATACCTGTAGCTCCCTGATATTTCTTGTGCACAAAACCTGCTCACAAATAAAAGATCATTTACCAGACCAAAATGGTAGGTAACACAATGGTATTGAATTTTCCATTGAAAACAAAAATAAAGCCAAGTGAAGACTAGAAAGATGGTGCTTTCCTTACAGGAATTTCTGGAACAGAATTGACCAGAAACAATTCTATCTTTTTGCTTACTGAAAAATAAAGAATTAAGTTTTTTTTTTTTGTTGAAAGTTTAAATTTCATTGTCAAAGTCTTGCCAAGTTGTGGGGGAAAACATTCATTAAAATTTAAGAACATATAGTTCCAAGAAAGATATTCTGACAATAAGTTTGTGATAAGTGGACTTCCTTTAATAGCCAGAAAGGTCTGAAAAGTAAATGTTTATTATAAAATAAGATTTGTCACAATTTTATTTCTAATATAAATTAAGAAACTTTCATTCATATGATGGGACATTTCTATCTTAGAGATTCAGTAAAGATGAATAAAAAAAATCAGAAGATAAAATGTTCTGGGATGGATTTAAGATCCATTTTTAAGAAGTCTAATCATCTCAGTGTAAAAACTCCATGATTTTAAAGCTAGGACTTTAAAGAGCCTAGCAAGGATGTCCCTGCCAGAGGGGAGTTATAAAAGGACAGAAAACCTGATCTTAATCAAAGATCTCAGGGGCCTATAAATAGAAACAGGTGTCTAAATCAAAGACAGAAAGAGACCCCAAATGAGAACCATGCTTTAGGACGCATGCTCGCATCTGGGGATCGTTCAGGGAGCTGAGAAAGTAGCAAATGTTGGAAACGTGCATTAAAAGATAGGAAGCATACCTCCAGATCATATCCTCACCCTCTTGAGAAGGAAAGTAATTCCTGCTGGAGGGCCAAGCGGCCTTTAACTCAAAGAAGAAAAGAGAAAAGCTAGGAGTGTTACACGAGCTGAAATAAAAACTTCAATCCTTTTCCTCTGGCTTCTTTTTTTAAACAGTCAGGGAAAATGTTCATCAGCCTTTAGGCTTTTAAGGTGGAGTGCTTCAAAGATGATAGGAATCATTCATCTGCTATGATCTGGCTTGGGAAATTATTGTAATTATCGTTATTAAGTGTTTAAGAATCCACAGGAAGATCGGGCATTGTACCCAGGACACCACAAAACTATAATCTACGACTGCACCCTACTCCGGAAACCCTGGTGTCTTGCAGATTGGAAATAGCTGCATTTTGAGCTATCCAATGGGAATCAATAATACAAGAAGGTCTGCTTCCCTCCGGTTCACGTGGAACGCTCTCTGTTATGAATGCTCAAATGTACTGTTGGGAACAAACGCAATAAAAATTCTCATCAACAGGTAACACATGATTCTCGATGCTTCACGGGGGTGGTTAGACCCTCCTCGCCTGGATATTCAGGTACAGATCATGAGTTTCTTGAAAGGATGTAAAATCAAACATGCGAGGGTCATAAATTAAGACACCAACACACATACATGAACTATGATGAAGCATTTCTTTTCCTAAAATTATCATGTAGGTATAGTGAAAATGTACTTTGAATTAGACAAATTCAAATTGGTTCCATCAACTTTTCAGATTCCCAGCTGACAGCCATTTCAATCCTGCAAAAAGTACTCAGAAGGACTGCCTAGTCTTTTGGCTAGCTGGTGGATGAAGAAGCTTAGTGTGTCTATCTTAGTAACAGCCCAGCGCCTTGTACGTTAACAGTGGCTCAGAAATGACGAATAAAAAGGAAAGGGGCAATCCAGAAACCCAGCACGTGTACACTTTAAGAACCAGAAAGCCATGGCTCCAGAAACAAGAAGACTTCTCCAGATCATACCAATTCTTCCATGTCGTCTCGCAGCAGAAATTTCTGCTTCTGTCTGGGAAGGAGTGGCTATGTCTGTCAGCCAGGCGGCTCTAGCTCCTTCAACAGGTTTCAGGCTTTCCCCTCCCATTGTGCACACACACACTGCTCTGGCTGGAGCTGGCTGGTCCACCATTCCCATTAACCGGTACCCATCTCTCAGAGCCCAGCTTAAATGCCATGAGCTCAGAGAAGCCTTCCTGAGCCCCTGGTGTTCTTTCTCATAGGCTCCTGCTAATTAAAGCCACAGTATTTATCACAATTTTATCAGGTAATTATTTGTCTATATCAAGTCACAAAACTTTATGCTCAAAAAAGTTAAGAGCTATATTTATTTTACTCACCAATTGTCACCTAATGTCAAGCATCATGCCTGACAAATAAAGACAATCAATATTTGCTCTAAGAATGGCAGTCAAAACAGTTATCAGTTTCAGGAAGTCTCCTATGTGCCAAGTACTGTCTAAGCTGTTTACAATGCCTTATCTCATGGATCTTCCAGAACACTGTTACCATACCCTGTGCCCTTCTTCCTTTCCCAAGTGCCTGCTGGTCATACAAACACATCTGATGACCATCTGACATGCAACTGAATTTGGGGAGATTGTGATGAAGCCACTCCACAGTGGCAATAAGCATTTACAGACCATCCCAGCACTTACCCTTCTGCCTAGGATCTGGTTGATTGCTGCACTTTCCTTTAGGGTACACTCAGCCACCACATTCGCTCTCATTTCTTTCATGTATAACATGAAAGCGTTCAGAGGCTTCTTGATGTGAGGTCTTTTTGGCTCCTGCTCCTTTCTCTGTTCATGCTGAGGCTTCCTAAAAGGTGATGGTGGTGGTAGTTGGGGAAGGAGGTAGAAGGAGTAAGGACAAGAAAGGAGGAAGAGAGAAGCAGAATGTCTGTTGACATGGTTGAACTCAGCCTGGGGAGGACCCTCGTCACTCTCTACAAGCCCCCACGATGCCACCAGCTTAGAAGAGCAACTCTTGGCTCACTTGATGAAACACTGAGCTGTAAACAAGCAAACCATGGGGCTTCATATCTACTCAGTGACTCTCTGAGAATAAGGATCTCTTACTTTGAGTTCTCAATAGCTGTAGAAGAATTTGACATCAAAGTGGAAATGAATTTGCAATGGCGGAGATGTTCCATCTAGGGCTGAGGCTCAGTTCTTTGGTTACCCCAGAAGAAGATGGACGCAGATAACAGGTGATCATTCCTCTTTCAGGACAAAGGCTCTTAACTTTTTTGGGGGGCAAGGGGGGAGCTAAGAGCCACTTTGAGAAGCTAATGAAACTTGTGACCCTTCCCCAAAACAAATCTATATTCTTCCCTCTGAATATATCTGCAGGTGCTTTATCAACTATCACCTGCTGCCTGTGACCCTATTCTCTTGTCCACAGACCCTGGTTAAGAAACACAATTTCTAATTTCTTCAGGGTCAGGGAATTTGAACCTGCAGTAACATTTTGAGATAATGCTAGCCCAATAGGGAATCTTTGGCTCTGTTGGTCTCTTTGCCTTGAATTCTGTGCTGTTGAAACCTCCAACCAATGTAAGTACATTTCCAGAAGAAAGTACATTCAAACTTCCAATCTACTTCACTCAAGGACTAACAGGTTCTTCCCTATCACTCTGAGCTCAATTAAGATCCAGGGGGCCTGGAAGCTAACTAGCTCAAGATTCTTCCTGCCTGTGTCCTGAACCTTCCTCCTTTCTGGTAAGATTTCCATGAACTTTGAAGGCCTGTGCTCCTTTCCAATCTCTGAAGCAAATCACGGAGGTGAGACTCAAGCTGTTGAAGGTTCTCAGGGCCAAAGCCTTTCCAGGCAGAGCCATGTGCAATTTCCGAACGACAGAGAAGGGGGAGGCTCAACGACAGGGAAGAAGTGACACCAGTGAATGCTCATTCGCAGGTGAGCATGAGGACCTACTTACACGTGCATTAGGTCGCTGTCAGTGTGAGGATGCTCCTGCTTCACCTGAGGCGTTACAATAGCTGGATGAGGGATGCCAGTTGTGTGGGGACCGGGAGGACCGGGGATCATATGATGGGAAAACCTGAAAGAAGGAAAGAGGAGAAAACAGTGTGTACTGCTGGCTGTTGTACTGAAATCCAGTGGAATTTCAAAACAATCCACTAACTACAGTTATCTACGAGTGAAAATACATCTTTATGAACCCGACTATTAACTATAAATTAGAGTGGACTGATAGTTATTTTTTTCTTTCTACATTCATGTGGAAAATACAAATTTATTCCTTGTCATTTATTGGAAATAATAGTAAACCCTGACACTTTATTCCCGGGAGGGCAGTAGGCCGTAGGATAAAGACAAAAGTTAATCATTTTTCGTGCAAAGCAATTTTCAAATATGAATTTCGATAAGAGAAATTATTGGAAATGTGGCACTTTATTAAATTTAGTTTTTGTATGGTTTTTAAATGAAAGCTAAAGACATCACATTTTAAAGTCTCTGCATTCATAAACAAACCATCACATGAAGAGTTTTCTCATACTTTTGGTTTTTACATTAATATCAGGAGGGGACAATTGAGAAAAAGGACAAAAAGTTTTTGGGTTTTCTTTCCAGTTGCCATTTAATAAGGTTTCCATTGTCATTATCCAAAATGATCTTCTGTACAGAAATAAAGCAACATTTGAGAGACTGAGCCTTATGGAAAACTGGTAACAGAATTAAAGGGAGGGTTATAGTTCTGCATCAAAGTAAAAACTACACCTGCTAAAGCCCCGTCCCTCCCACAAGTGTGCTTGTACAGCATTAAAAAAAAAATCTTAAAATATCCACCACCAGCCAGCACAAAGAAGGGAAACTGCCATGCAAGAAAAATAAAAACAGTACTCTAGACGAGCACTGTGGAAGAATTTTGACATGCTTTACAAGTGTTTGCTTTTCAAACTGTTTTAAAGTAAACACTTCATTCTGTAAGAACATTCTCAGATCCTTCATCATGGCACAATTGATTCCTTCATCTGGAAAGGAAAGAAGGAACTCTGCATGGACACGGGTCCAAAAATTTCAAATATTAGGGATACATGGTAAGAACACAAATATTTCACCAAACAATGATGCTTTGCGAAATGTACTGTTTGCAAAAAGAAAAAAAACAAAACAAAACACAATGCTGGTTACTTGCCAGCCATCAGATAGTTCTCACAGTAAAAAAAAAAAAAAAAAAAGTACTTTAGGGGAGAATATTAATTCCATTCCCCCACTCCAGCCAGCTAGATTTACAATTCACTGAACAATTTATATATTTTTTCTAATGCTGAAATTCACCACAGAGGCTGTGAATTTCATACCACATCAAAAAAACCAAAAACAACAAACAAACAAACAAAAAAGATTCACAACCAGTTAATAACCCACCAGTTTGACTTTCGGCACAACAAGCTAGCTCCCTGGAAAAAGCCACATCGGACACACAGATGATACACCACGATGTGTGTACATCAATCACAAGGTACAAAAGCCATCCTTTCCATAGCAGAAGCATCACACAGAGCAGGTCTCACAGCCCTCTGCTTGCACTGTCGTGTCCCCACAGGGCCTGATTCACACACTAGGCTGCACACCTGCCTGGATGGGCACTGTCCCTTCTCTCCCAACAGCCTTGGTGCAGGAAGGCTGACTATCAGGGCATTTTCAAACACTGCCATGTTAAATGGATGCAACTTTCATCAGAGGAGGCAAATTACAGAATGCCTTCCAAACTTGGTTTTATCCTCCTCCCCTAGTCCACCCCCAGCATATATTGAATCAAGAGAGCTCTTCTTGTAGCGTCCACTTTCAGGACATTTCTGTTTCCCAGTGTGGCTGGTCTTACTGGCTTCTACCCAGGAATCGCCGTGACACCTAGTGTGGGAGCCAGGCACACTGCACAGACACACGCATGGCTCAGCTATGCACCCTCCTAGCCAGCTGACCAAGAGGCAAGCAGGAGTGCACGAGATGCAAGCACAAAAAGAGCGACTTGGCCTCCAGTGCCCGGTTTCCACCTCCACCTACCTGGACATAGAAGTGTCGACTGACAGTGAGGATGGGTAGGGTTGCCTGAATCCACCCGTGATGGGATATACAGGCTGACCTTGCCTGAGGTCACAGAAGAGAGGAACCCATGAATGAAAAACACGAGGTACCAACCAGCAGTAAGAGTTTGGTGAGGGGAGAAGAGGGGGATAGTCAAATGGCGTCTTATAGGCGTATCACATACCACAGCGTTTCTCCAGGCACATCCCCTTCCCTTCCTCACCCTCCACCCCAGCACGGCATCATTTGCCTGGAAGAAAAATCTCCCTCCACTTTGAAAGCAAACCAATCCATCAATTATCTGTTTTTCATCCCTTCCCCCCACCAGCCCTGTTAATGCCTTGACAAAGTAGCACTTAAAAAAAAAAAACTTATTAAACACTTTTTGAATATAAGAAATATTCTCTTCAGAGGCAGCTTCATGAATTCTTTGTCCCAATCTTTGAGAATTTCAGAGAAGGAAAGAAAGGAGAACATCAAATTTTATAAAAAATTAAAAACTTATAAAAAGTTTTTAATAAACAGTTTCAAAACACTGCATCTCCCCCCTCCCCTGTACACACATGCTAGAGTCAAGAAACAAAAGTCCAACTCACTGGAATCATTTCTCTCCACCCTTACCCTGAGAAGTCCATCTTTCCCTCTGCCCTGCTCTCTCACATTTTTTTTTCATTTACAGTCTTTATTTCCAGCTGCCAGTGATGCAACTCAGCACAGGATTGCTCCTGAGAAGCCTAACTTCCCAAAGAATAATTGATCTAGGCTTGGAAGTGTACACATAGTCAATTAAATTCAAACAGAATTATTGACTGAGCCATTTATTGCTCAAGAGAAAGGGAGAGTAAAAGAGTAAGCATGAGAACAAGAGCAAGGGAGTGTCTGCAAGCTGGAATTTCCATGGCAGGATGGCTCTTCTTTGATGAAGAAGAGATAATGTCAGAATGTCCAGGTAGGGGGACAGGGCCATGATATGGGGGCTGTGGAGACATCGAGCCAAAGGGAGAAAGGAGAGAAGCGTTTGCTAACGTTGCAGCACTGTTTCTTTGAAGGGAGAAGTGAGGAGGGGAAAATGGAGAGGGCACCAGAGTCATAGCAGGGAAAGCTGTGTGCTAATGATCAAATGGTAAAGATAGACTACAGTATGCAAAATAATTCTTACTTCCTGGGATATATATCCTTTTATAATTAAAAAAATGAAGAGAGAAATAATGTTTTTAGAAATAACTACCATAAAATTAAGACATTAAAAATAAAAGTCCCCAAATCAGTGATTTGCTCCTCAGAAATGAAATTGGATGCTCGCTTTATTAGCATTCAATAGATGCTTGTATTTTGTTGAATTTCTCTATAGGTGTCAGTTGCCTTGCTTGCCCACTTAGAACAGAAGTAGATATTCAATGTGTCTAAATTCATGTGTCAAAATATAAGCTATTCATAAAAAAAGAAAAAAAACTGGAAGAGAAAAGCCACACTGAGCTCTGACTTTGTAGAATCCTAGCAAATGCCCAAAGCCACAAATTAAAACTCATAAAACTATAAGCTTCAAAGCAAATGCTCCAGTCATTTTCTATACATCTTAGCGAACAGATTCACTCCACTGCAAACTCCTCATTTTTTAAAAATCTTTTAAATGGAAGTGAAATAAAGTTAGCACCTTGCTTGTTGACGTAAAAACTTCCTCCACCCCACAAGCGTTAGTTACCATTTTCACAGAGCTAATCTCCACAAATGGAAAGAGGAAGAACACGTGTCTGAATGCTGAGGGCTGCAAGAAGGCTCTTACCAGCCAAGAGGTGGGGTGATCTGTCCAACGGCACCTGGAGACAGAGGGTAAAAGCTGGGGAGGTCAGGAGCTGGAGGGTGTCTGGTCATGCCTGTTAAAAAAGGATAACATTTTCAGATCCACAGAGCATTTGACTAGAAAAACAACAGACAAGAGATAAAATGCTTTATGGCATTGCATAAACTCAGTTTGTGAGCCTTTCTTGGGAATTTAACACTTGGGAAAACAGGGTCTTTAGACAGTATGTTTTGAGAAATTCCTGCAGGAATAAATATTTTTCCAGGAAAACGGTCATCCAAATAGACTTTTAAATGATTTATTTCACCCTCATTATTTCCCTTTGGTTGAGAAAATGGTAGATGGTTGTTTTTGTGTAGAATGGAAAATGATAAACCTTCACAAAGAAGCAGCCTTCCATGTGCTCAAGGATTAGGTAAATTACCACTTTCATATTTTCACTGGGGCCCTTATGGACACACAGATTTGGGGAATGTGACACCTCAAAGGATCAGAGATTAATTAGGCATCATCTCCAGCCCCACTGTGGTCACACTTGATATGATTCATTTGGTCTCCGTCTGCCACTTTAGCTCCCAGTAAGCTTTTCCTCACGTCAAGTCCTCTGGGCTCCAAGGTCGCGCTGTTCTGTATTAGTTGTACTCCACAGAAAAGGAGAGTGCCACCCAATTGTTTCTCAGGCTCACACCCCCTAGAGTACACTGCCCTACCATTGTGAAAGCCACTAATTCCAGTCCCAGATGACAGCCTTACCTTAGGTAAGGACAGGGGGGGCAGGAGGATATAGGCAAATGCATAAAATTTAAAATATAAAAACTCAGACTTCACATATTTGGGGAAATGTCATTCTGAAGAGAAAAGAGCCACCTGAATTGCTTCGCACAGCTGACCATGGCTTTAAAAGGCCATTTGCATATGTGGTGATTTATAAATTTATCCACCAATATGTGGGATGAGAGGTGAGCACACAAAAGATGCTCTTTAAATATGGCACTTTTACTACTTAAAATGCCTTAGAGGGATTGGGCATGCAGCTCAGTGGTATAAATGTTTGCCTGGTATGCATGAGGCCCTGGGTTAGATTCCCAGTACTGCAAAGAAAATTAATTTAAAAATAGCATAAAATGTCTCTGGGTTTCATTTGGATCCTAATAGGCCTTGAACATATGTGTATGAAGTGCTACCTTCACAGGTGATCTCAATTTGACTTTGAAGTTAGAACTATTTCTCTATTCTTACAGAAAGTAGGCACAAAGGAGAAAGGTTTGACTCTTAATGAGATCAACTCATATTTTTGGTGTTTTTAAAAGAGATATCTCACATCTCCTTTAAATTTTTTTTTTTTTGCTAGAAATACTGATTCTTTGGATCTAAGTGCCCCGCCCCCCATACACATGCTTGGGATTTTTTTTCCTTGGGTCTGGGAGCAGGTAGGGGTGACCATAAGGGAGCCTGCAGGTTGAGGTCTCAGAAACTTTGAGGGATTTTTTTCAACTTGCTGCCTCCCTTGGCCTGAGATCCAGAAATCCCCAAATCTTAGAGTCTACTAGGGAGAGTGCTCAGGTTTGAAAAAAAGAAAAGACAGCCAAACCAACTGAGTAGTAAACATTTGAAACTTAATGGGAACGTGAATGTTTAATTATATTGACATGAAAAATCATGGTTAGAAGTCAGAGTATAAGTGCTTGCTGGTATCTATAAGGTTAAAATAGATAATATGAAGAACTAAGAATACCTTATAAAAGTTCTTTCCTTTTCATATTTTTACCATACTGAGAAAGAGTAGGAACACGAACGTTAGGCATTACCTTCCTTACTCTTTCCTTCACACTCACAAGCACACCTGGGGAGGAAGGAGGAGGGAGCGAGAGAGGAGAGGTAGAAACTAATGTGACCTCTAAGAGGAAAATAATCTGAAGGTTTTTTTGCACAAGGAGAACGGGTTCCACAGACAAACCATTTAAGCTTACTATTAGTTCTGCCTAGGGTTAAAGTACAGGCATGATACTCGTTTTGTTTTGTTTTTGTCTTCTGGATAGGAACACTGAAATGAGCAACTCTGGCCTCAGAACCACCATGCTGTTAACCCAGCTACATGATACACCCCAAAGGAAGGAAGCAGAAAGAAAAAGGAGAAAGCAAGGGACCTTCAGAGCTTAGTTTTTTGGCAACAAATGCACACAAATGGAATCATATAAACTCAATATCATATAAATGAGTGCTTTTCAAGCCAGAGTTTACAAACCCCCAGAGGTATATGCTAGGGAGGTACATTAAGCCCAGGACAAACACGTAATTGAAAACAGGATCTTTATATTAAAACAAGCAGGAATGGCACATGGAATAGAAGACAAAAAATCACAACATTTGAAAAACAAAACCAAGGCTTAAGAAACTGCCAACAGAGGACTTCTGGTCATGCCACCAGTTGCTTCTCTACAGTTCTACAGAATTTGTTTTTACTAAAAAGAAAAAAAAAAGTTTGAGAAGCAATGATATAAATTATAAGTAAGCCAAACAAAGCAGGAGAGGAGCAGAGATTAGAAACAGAAGAGAAGTTGGTACTTATTTATTTATGGCAATACTGGGGTTTGAACTCGGGCCTTATGCTTGCTAGGCAGGCGCTCTACCACTTAAGCCACTCCACCAGTCCAACTTATCTCTTTTTCAAAGTGAACAATCCTAGAATTCTTGAGCAAAAAACTACTGAACCATGATTTGTCATTCTCTTAAGGAAGTGAAAGCTTCAAAGTGCTTTGAACAGGACCTAGGACACAGAAAGCACTATTTAATTGCAAAATAAATACTTAAGCTAAATAAAATACACTGTTGGATTCTTTTTGCTGGTTGCTTGAGACTTTTAAATCTACATTTGTCATCCACATGTTTTTGGTTCTCAGCTCAGACCCTGATCTGAGCTTAGGACACACACTGAATGCCTGTGTCATATCAAGTCTCGCCCGTGCAAGGGCTCTACCACTGAACTGCATCCCAGCTCCAACATCATATTGTTGATCTTTCAAACTCAGCCTTCTCCCTAAGACCCCTACCCTAATTCCCTTTCTCACTATACAGCCATAAACCTGTCCTTTTGGTTTTTCTTATTCTTGGGAGGGTTCTGACAAAAAGAAGCAGGGTGGAGGAAGGACTGGGACCGAGGAATAAAACAGGCCAAGCTGGACACATCTGCATAGGGGATTCTTACCTTCTGTGCATCAAGGTACTTGGACTCTAACTCAAGTCCAAGTACAACAGTAGCTGTATCTTCAAGTAAGTGTTTTATTATAAAATATTAAGTGAAAAATTATAGAAATAAACAATTTTTTAGGTTTTAAATTAAGTGCTGTTCTGAGAAGCATGACGAAATTTTGTACTGTCCCCTCAGTCCTTGCCTGGGATATAAACCATCCCTTTGCCCCTGTATCTTACAGTGCTTGTGTTCAAATAACCTTTTTTTTTTTTTTTACTTAAAAATGGCCCTAAAGGCAAGAATAGTTATGCTGGCAATTCAGATATGCCAGAGTGAAGACATAAAGTACTTCCACAAAGTGAAAAGGTGAAAAGGTGAAGGCTCTAAACTTAACGATTGAAGAAAAAAAAAATCATATGCTGCACTTCCTAAGGTTTAGGGTAACAATCAATCTTCTTTCTATCTGTGAAATTCTGAAGAAAGAATTTGTGCTAGTTTTGCCATCGCACCTGCAAAAATTGTGGCCCTAGTTTGTGGGAAGCGCTTATGATGGAGGAGGCATCCCATGTGTGGTTCAGTATTATCCGTGGTTTTAGGCACTAGTGGGGGTGAACACTGTCCCCAGTGGATAAGGATGGGAGACCCTTATGCTCAGATAAATAAACTGCAGAGGATCCACTTTTTAGGACAGCTTGATGCTCTTTCCATGCTCATGTACCCATGGACTTAAAAATAATGGTTTAGGTTGTGGATCATAGATTTTCAGAGCTGGCATTTGGAAAATGACCCTACTATGCTTTTCTGGTTTTAATCCTGAAAAATTAAAGCAGCAGCATGAATTCTTATGGGTTTCTAAAGAAGTGCTAACCAGTGAATTCACTCTTCTACAAATGTGGGGTATTTTTTGGTTTGTTTGTAAACTCAGGGCCTGGCGCTTCCTAAGCAGCCATGCTCCCAGCTCTGTTTGCTTTAGTTATTTTTCCAGATAAGATCTCACATTTTTGCCCAGGGCCAGCCTCACACCCAGATCCTTCTCCCTATGCTAGGATCACAGGCATGTGCCATCACACCCAGCTTATTGTTGACATGGGGTCTCACTAACCTTTCCCCCCACCCCCAATCTCCGTCAGCTGAATAGCTGGAGTTACAGGGGTCGCCACTGCCCTGGCTACCCATGCATTTTGAGTCACCCACCCATGAAACACCATGAAACAGAGGCACCTGGAGGGCCACTTGCACAAATGACGGTTGACTCATCAATTAGCAAAACAAGAGCTCTCACCTTGTTTGGAGTTGACATCTGATGGGATGTGTGAAGGGTGTGATCCTGGAGAAAAGTGCTCATCACTGTAAGTGATGAGGGGAGTGAGAGGGTGGACCGCGTGGGATGGCTGCACCACCGGCACTTTATTTGACTGCAAAGCAACCACAAGATCAACCATTAATAGGGATGCCCGACTCCTGTCTCCTCTCCTAAGGAGAAAGTGACACAATAGCAGTAACCAGTCATCAGCATAACCCAAGTTCATCACCAGACCTTGACAACTGAAGTCACCTCATTTAGACCCGCCATATTCTTCCATAGTCACTGAGAACTCATCTCACAGTGCCCTGCAGCAGGCTGATTGATGACTGTTTTCCCATATGACATGAATCTTTGTGTGTTCATGTTTGTACTCCCTTCTGCATTATTTCCTCAGGTTATGTTCAATAAAGAGCTACCAAGACAAAAGTTATGAGTGATTTATAAGCTTTTTATTTGTTACGTATGTCCGGCAAAAAAAAAAGTCACTCAACGAAAAACTGTTCCATGAATAAATAAATGATTACGTATTGCCAATTTGAAGGGCAAAATTTTAAATCACTCAGTAAGTAGGGATTTATAATTTATAAATTCATAGTTCTATGGTTGAACATCTTCAAGAATCTTGCTGCACCATTTTTTTTTTCATGTAATGTACCTTTGTCTAGCATGACCATCCATTCACGCTTTAGTAGTAACTCAGTTTACTGAGTTAATCTTTTGCTTGTCTGGCTTTCAGAAGAATTAATTGATAAGAGGAAATTTCCAATCTTGAGTTTAAGCATATAACAAAATACAGCTTGAAAGAACATTTTAAGTTATTAACATTTTATATTTTAATATACTTTGCCTGTTTATAAACAAATTTTGTTATTTAATTTGGAAGTACAAAACAAGGTAACAAACAGTAACACTTTTTAAAGTTATTTCTTTGAACCTCATCAATTTGAAATCATTTTGATTGTGAAGTTGAAGAGGTCTCCCTGCCCCAAACCAAGAAAGTACTTACTAACTAAATTAGTAATGTAAACAAGACTCAAGACAGGTTTAACCTAATTTTGGGGGGTCATTTTAAAGAAACTCTAGATGAGAATATATTGTCCTCTCTCTTTTTTGCTATGTAGCCCAGGCTCTGCTCAAACTTATGATCCTCCTTTCTCTGCCTCCAGAGCGCTGGGATTACAAGCGTGCACCACCATGCTAGATCCCAATATATCACATCCTTGACAAATGCTAAGAAAGTGGATAGCAAGTGTTCCCCCCCACCAAAATAACATTGTGAGGTAACTCAGACATCAATTAACTAGACCTAACCATTCCACAATGTATATTTCAAAACGTGCTATGCATGATAAAGATACACAATTTTATCTGTCAATTTTTTAAAAAACAGTAAAAGAAAAAGGGCTGGCCGAATGGTTCAAGTGGCAGAGTGCCTGCCTAGCAAGCGCAAAGCCCTGAGTTCAAACTCCAGTACCGCAAGAAAAGAAAAAGAAACTCCACCATTCTACCAAAGAAAGGAAACTAAACCCAACTATAAACAGGTAAAAGAAGGTTCTGATTTTAAACCCATCTACTAATTAAAGCAGTCGTGAAAAGCTCTCCATTTAGAAATACACAGTAATGAGGAACGTGGGTTTAAGAGGAACAGATGTAAGGCGTTCACTAGCTCAGGCATGCCTTCACCATAATTAGTTTGAATTAGTGAGATTTTACAGTCCTATGGACTAAGAGACATGTGAAATTGGTCTCTTCAGAAGCAAATACATTTAGAGAAACTGAAGTGCCTAAAACAACACAAACTACTTAAAATGTAGGACTATCATCAGATGGCAAAGAGGTCCCCACAACACACCTGTGTGTGGTGGCTGCACCTGTGTACATGCTCCTTTTGAGTTTGATGGGTTTCTTTTACCAGTTAGGTGTACAAAGTATGCGGCTCCAATGGGAAGGAATACCCTCAGGAAAATCAGGAACAATCACACTCGCAGCACCCAATTCTCTCTCCACCCTATCATTACAACCTCCATCCAAAAGAGACTTATGGGAGGAAAAAAGGTAAAGGAGGACAAATCACATTTCTGGACAATGATATAATTTCTCCACTAGCTTTTTCTCTACTTTATAATTACCAGCTCATGTCTAATGGCAAAACTTGCAGAGCTCACAGAGCCCTTGGCATTTAATAAACAGAGCACCGTCATCAAAGCCAAACAATTTTCCCCTACACATCTCAGCACAAACATCTGTGCATGTAAATGTGTACACGGTTAAAAAAAAATCTTGTAATGCTTTTCAAATGTTAGTGATGTTGTTTGCCAAATACATAGAGTGAGACTCTAAAACACAGAGAATTTAGCATGCTAGAGGAGGTGGGGGGATGGGCAGCAGTGGGGACAGGAGGTTATTATTATAAACTCTTTTTTGGAATGCAGAAATAATCTCAACACCCAAATGCTCAAGTGAATATATTTCCCCTACACTTTAGAATAGTGTTACTTTGACTTTCCTATGGAAAGTCTCAAAAGAAGCGTAATTGCCAAACTATCTACAAAGATATTTCTTAGGGTTGTTATAGAAGCACCACAGAAATCTTTTGGAAATATAGTGTGTGTCTGTGTGTCTGTGTGTGTGTCTGTGTGTGTGTGTCTGTGTGTGTGTGTCTGTGTCTGTGTGTGTGTGTCTGTGTGTCTGTGTGTGTGCGCGCGCCTTGCTTGTTTCCAGAGCGCCACCTTAAGGAACTTGAATTAGCAGGCAGCGTCGTCTTAATGTCTGACCTCTCCCTCCAGTCCTACAGCTCAGAATCTGGTGCCGAATTTTTGTTAAATTATGCTATCCTTGCTCTCCTCTTAATTTTACGGTTTTCAACATAGATTTGCTTTCCTGTGGGAAGGAGATAAGAAGCTGAGGATTTTAATTTAAGCTCTGGCCTTGTCTTATATTTTGCAAGATGGATAGCAAAAGCGGTACTAGTAGGTGCGTTAAAGCCAACAAGTATTACATCCATTTTTAGTGGCCAAATAATAAAAATAATATGAAATCTCAATAATATGTGTGAGCAGAATTCAAAGGGTTATATTTTGCCTCCTGCCAACCACCTCTACCATGTGTATGAACAGAACAAAGTGGATCCCACCCTATACTGCAGACGCTTGGCCTGGTGCCATTATAGTCAAACATCCCCAGGCCTGAATTTGTGGGCTTCCTGTGATTTTAGGAGTTATATTGCCCTCGGCCCCTGTATGCACCAGCAAGGCCAGAACCCTCAACCTCCTACTCTGGTTAAGTTTTGAAGCAGACAGGACAAGCAGTCTTAATTCTATTCTTCTCATCTCTGAATAACAGTGTGATTTTTTTTTTTAGGTGGGGAATGGGTGAGGAGAATAATCAACTCACTATACGCATGTATGCACATACACGTGGATACTTATTAAGCACCTACAGTTTTCCCAGCACCAGTCTGGCAGATAGCAAAGGCAGACAAGGTCCCTGACCTCATATGGCTCACTTTCTAAGGGCCTGGAAGTGGGGACAGGGAGCACAGGGTAGGTTGTGGAGACAGTTTATTTTAAAAAATAACAACAAGCAAACCTTGAAAAGAAAGACTCAATTACTATGAAGAAAATGAATGGGTGATGGGAGAGACACAGTGGGTCTGTCCCTGCTACTGTATCGTGGCAATGCTGCAAGAAACCTGAAGCTCATTTACAGTCCAAGCTCCTTATTTTATAAGATGGGAAGCTGAGAAACAGGTCTCTAGGGAGTGGGTGGTCAAGCCAAGGATTGCTGGGAGCACTTGCTATCCTACAGCACACTCAGGAACCAACTCTAGCAATACAGGGTGCTGTAAGTGCAATGGGAATGGAGCCCCTGGGCTGCCCAATACACTGGAATCAAGTAGTAGAGAAATTTAATCCTTTTGGCTCTTTCTCTGTGCTGGGTACTGCACACACGGTTCTTCACTTAATACAATCCAAATCTCCTGATTCCTCCTCAAGTGCTCTTCCCACTTCACTGTGAGGGAGGGAGGAGGGGAAAAGTCACTGATTCTTTTTCATCCACCGGTACAGGCAGTCAGGTAAGTCTTACTTTCCAGCAGAGAACCACCAGGTATTCCTAGCTTATGTCCTTTGTTTTGTTATCCCAGAGGAAGAGGACGAATGATGGCCACCTTTATGAGACAGATATCTGGCAGCTTTAAGTCATCCCAAATTCTCTACTCCTGCTAAAGAAGTATAGTAACTAAAGCTCATGTGCCAGCCCGTGGCTAAGTGAGGCCAAAGACTGTGGTTGTTTGATTCTAATTGCACATTCTTTAATCTTGGACAGGTGCCTGTTGGGCAAGCAAAGGAAAAGAAATACAGATGGAAAGGGGAGGTACTGGAGGAAGGTTGGAAAGCATCAAAGGGAGACTCCAGAAGACAGTGCCTTTGCCTACGCTCAAAACTCATTCATGGCTATTTAATAGGATAAAAGAACCTCCATTGGACTGTCCTACCCTAGGACCACACAATGATCACAGCAACTACCACTGGCCGAGTGCTTACGGTATGCCCAACACTTTTATCCTCACACCAGCTTTGGGACAGAAACCATTACTCTCCTCTTCTTACAGATGGGCAACTGGCACAGGGAAACTAAGTAACGTTCCCAAGGACGTGCAGCTCAAGTGGCCAAGCCAGGACTCAAATGCACCAAGCCTGGCTCTAGTTGCTAAGTTCATTTCTAGCATACCACGCAGCCTCCCTGATGAGCCAAGCTCATAAAATCTTGGACACTGAGTTGACCATCTGGGGCCATACCTGACAGGGTGTGTCATATATGAAACAAATGTGTGGTCTCTGTCCCAGGCACAGGAATCACATCAGACAAAGAGGCACCTTAGTCGAAGCAGTCAGAGCTGCAGAGCCTCAAAGCCTCTACTGCAGCCTTTTTCTCCAGGACTGGAAAACATTCCAAGGAAGCTAGCTTGGCTGCCATCCAGACTGGTCCCTGCAGGTAAGAACCTCTTTGGCATCACAGCCAATAAAACCCACACCTCCTGTGGACACGAAGTGGGTGCCACTTAGGGATCTGAGAGCCGCCCCCAACGCAGCATTCCCAGAAATGACC